CTCTGTCTCAAAAAAAAAAAAAAAAGAAGAAAGAAAGAAAGAAAGAAAGAAAGAAAAGAAATACCACAAGGAGAGAGCAGAGAAAATGTAGGGAAGGAAATGAGTCAAGAAATTTTTCAGGAAAACTACAGGACTGAAAACCATAATTTTCCACATTGGAAAGGCCACTGATTACTGAACAGAATGAATGAAAACATGCCCAGATCAAGGCACATCACTGAAATATCAGAGCCTGAGAGTAGAGAAGATCCTAAATACTTCCAAAGAGAAAAAGAGTTTATTTTTATTTTTCAAGGATCAAAAATCCGAATGGGTTTAGCTTCTCAACAGCAATACCGATAACAAGAAGATGAAGTGATCCTTTGGAAAATCTGAGAAAAAATGTATTTTCAGTCTAGAATTCCATAGCCAGCTAAACTCTCAGGTGGGTATAGAATATTTGGAGGTGTTTTCAGACTTGCAGGGTTTTAACAATTTTTACCCACCATGTACTGTTTCTCAAGAAACTATTGGATGTCCGCCATTAAAATAAGAGAGTGAAACAAGAAAGAGGAAGAGGTGAGATACAGAAAACAGGAGAGCCACCCAGGAGACAAGTCAGGAAACAATGCAGAAGGAAGAACGCAGGTTAAACACTGTATCCCAGGTCTGCAGGGCACCCAAGGCCAAGGCGCAGAGAACTTCAGAAGCATGCAAGTCGAAGGCTGTCGCCACCATGACCTCTTTCCCATTATACTGGCTTTGTTTAATCTATTGAAACTATTCTAGAATGTGCCCTACCCAAACAAAGAAATGAACCAAGAAAGGGAAAGTCCCACTAAAGATGAGCCAAAGAAATTCCCAGGACAACAGGTATGTGACAGGCCTAGAGTACAACCAGCCCAGACAGAAGTAGACTTGTGGACTAAAAGTAGTGTAATCGAGGGATTGGCTGATATGACTGACCTTGTGGAAATTTGTCTTGTGAGGCTACTTGAAGATGTAGAAAAGAAGTAAAGCCAATGAAAAGCTAGGGCAACTTTAACTTTAGAACACAGAGAGTAGGCCAGGCCTGGTGGCTTATGCCTGTAATCCTAGCACTCTGGGAGGCCCAGGTGGGTGGATCGCTTGAGCTCAGGGGTTTGGGACTGGCCTGAGCAAGAGTGAGACCCTATCTCTCTAAAAAATACAAAAATTAGCTGGGCGTGGTGGCACACACCTGTCGTCCCAGCTATTCAGGAAGCTGAGGCAAGAGGATCGCTTGAACCTAGGAGTTGGAGGTTGCTGTAAGCTACACCACCAGGATTCTCTACCAAGGGTACAGAGGGAAACTGTCTCAAAAAAAAAAAAAAGAAAAGAAAAGAAAAGAAAAGAAAAAATAGAAAACAGAGAGTAAAAAGATGGTACTATAATCTAATCACACTATACTATCATGCTGAGTTGGAAATAATATTGTCATACATGCAATAATATAAAGGATGAATGTTGATTTCACTAAAGTTGAACACAACTCCCTTGGTGGGTTAGGGAAGTTAAGCAGAAGAGAGGTAACGTAAGACAGACAAATGTTGACCCACAGAATAGAAAGTCAAAGGGTGCAAGCTGATGCGCCCGAGGACAGCAGTACATATACATTACTGCAGAGAATGGCATGCAAACGCCACAAGAAATAGCTCCAAGAGCTGAAAGCGGCTGCCTCTCAGTAAAAGGGAGCAGGGCCCATTTTGTTGTCTCCTAGGATTTCTTTGGCTTTTAAATTATGTCCCTGTATCACTTTGATAAAACAAGGTATTTTTTATTTTATTTTATTCTTTATTTTTGGAGATAGAGTGTCACTGTCACCCTGGGTAGAGTGCTGTGCTGTCATAACTCACAGCAACCTCAGACTCTTAGGCTCAAGCTATCCTCTTGTCTCAGCCTCCCGAATAGCTGGGACTACAGGTGCCACTAGAGACAGGGTTTCACTCTTCCTCAGGCTGGCCTTCAATTCTGGAGTTGAAGGGATCCACCCACCTCTGTCTCCCAAAGTGCTAGCATTACAAGTGTGAGCCAACGTGCCCCGCCTTAAAAGAAGGTGTTTTCATAGGCAGAGAAGAGTTACCAACATACATGGAATGTCCAGACCCTTTGCTTTTGCCATCACAGAAAGTATGTCTCGAGTGGAGTGGACAGCACTGAAGATGTGGCTTTCTTCTGTCTTCTTGCAAAGAGGGGGCAGATAGCACCTCAAGGATGTGCTTTGCAGAAGATGGTTGATATACTGGTCAAGTTCGTCTTGGCTTTCTGTAATCGGACAAGAAAAAGAGCCAATGAAAACAAACTGCAGAAACATCCTCACTGTATACTGTGCTGCGTGTCGCAGGTGTCGCTGCAGAGACTTAGCAGAAGACAACATCCGGGCTCGGCGCCTATAGCTCAACCGGCTAAGGCGCCAGCCATGTACACCTAAGGTGGCGGGTTCGAATCCC